ACCATTTCAATTCTCCTAGCCACGTGTGGGTACCAGGTAACCCTTCAACTTGTTTGACTTGATCTTGATTCTACTTCCTCTTCTGGGTATAAATTTCTGCACTCCCTCAGCTTGATCCTCATTCATCTTTGTCTCCATCTCTTCTTCTATAGTTTGACCTATGTTCGTATCAATATGTTGTCGTTTAGTGACTAATTTAATGAATGGTAAGATAGTAAAAAAAAAAAAAAAAAAGTAAAATAACCCATTAATTGAATGTTACATGAAAATATATTTGTCTTAGAAAAATTTGCACAAAATTTCAAGAAAGATGTCGCATAGCTAGATTAACATTTTTATATCAGTCCACATAATGATTGAATTGATCGGGTCGAATCATTTGGGAATCGATCAATTGTGTGATATGATATGATCTGTTTCCCTGATATAATGAGATGAAGATATGAGCTAAGGGCTTGTTTGGTGGACAAGATAGGATATGATATGGGGCTGATAATGGTAGGATATGATATGGGGCTGATAAGTCTATATCATGTCTTTGTGTTTGATAAACACCTTATTAGCAATCTGATAAGATTATGTAGAAAGAGAAAAGAGAAAGAAAAAACAAAATTTAATGCAATAAATACAAATATATTAGGTAGTGTGAGGATATATTGGGTAGTGTGAGGATATATTGTCCAATATTGGTATCCTATCCTATTGAATCCTAACTCAGCTCTCCCCATAGGATAAGAAATCATGCATTTGGTAGGATAAAATAAGACAATAGGATAAGCTAATCATATCATATTGACCCACCAAACAAGAGATAAAAGTAGAATATGATAAGTTATCATATCTTATCTTCTCTTCTTTATCAGGTGCTTCAAACAGACCCTAAGTTTAATAAGAGAATTACCTGAAGTGGATCTCTTTCAAATATATAACATGAGTTCTCCCAATGCAATGTGATTAAACTCTCGTATGGATTCGAATGAATCATCATTTTCACATAGGTAAAATTGTGCCTGCTAGATGAGAGGATAACAAGTTACAAATTCTATCTTAGTAGGACATATATTTTTATTACTATTCAATTAAAGTAGAATTCTACATTTCCACATAGAATTACCATTCTCATCTTTTTTGTGGCAACGAATCTTATGTGTTCATTAGAAAAGGAATTTTTCCATTTTTTAGGGTAACCTTTCCACGAAAATGGAAAAATAGATGCAAAGTCGAATTACTAAAGAAATGGTAAGTGGCGTTAGAGGCTGACCCTGAATAAAACGACCAATCCAAAACAAATCCTGTCATGACTTCTTTTAATATTACTAGATATGTGAAAATTTTCAACCATGGTCAGTAATTAAAATATCATTACAGATTTTCCATTTTATCCGCTTTATTAGTAAAACTATAATCATAATTTGACATTTTTCATATGAAATATGGGTTTTCATTTTATCCTTTAACATAACACAACAAACTTTTCTACACTCACAACATTTTGTGGGGCCCACACCTTTTAAAACAAAAAAATAAATAAAAAATTAAGGCACGCAAAACGAATCTCTATAACATTACACAATCACTTTTCCTACAACATAACTCTTATAAAACCCATGAAATATTCATGTTAAATAGAGATTACGGGACCCGTTCCCACCCCAATTTTAAAATTATGCCGTTACATGAAGCCTTATTCTTCACCGTGATAATGATTCCTTAATTTACTACATTCAAAAAATTAACCAACGTCAACACACCTACTTATGGTCACTCGTCCAACTACGTGCGAATGGTTTTTTGACCCTTATAACCTTTAATTAATAATTAATTACCAATTTGACCTTCATTTGAAACTAATTCGAAAATTTAACTCCTTCAGAAAACATAACACCAATCTGTCCCTGTTTGACCGTTGACCATGAAGCCTACCCGGGTACACCCCTCCCTACCCTGGTATTTTTTGAAATTTTTTATCTACCCGGGTAGAGAGGGGTGTACCCGGGTAGAGTTCTTGAATCTGGAAAAATGGTTGAATTAGTTACCCGGTTAAGAAGGGTTGTACCCGGGTAAACATCCAGAGTAGCGTTTTTATATAAATGAAAAAAACTGTGACAAGCATGGTTCATGGACGATAGCAACGAAGATCCAAGGCTTCCTCGCCATGGCAACCCTAATGAATTTGTTTCCATCAACCAATTAGCAGGTCATTACTCTCTCTCTCTATCTATCTATAGTTTTACTTAGTGACGTTGCACAAAAATGGTGAGTTTTGCAGAATTGGGACTCTTATACTGGAAGCTGAATCCAAATGATGTTGAGGAAGATTAGAGAAACTAGGGGATACAATTACATGGTAACGTTGTATTAATTTTTTACTAATTTCATTTTGTTTTCTGTAATCAGAAGGTGCTTCAATTTTTTGCGTTTTCATTAACCTGATCGAAATATAAATCCGAGGAGAATATGAATTGGAAAAAGAAACTCTTTAGCATCTCGGTTATATAAAAACACTACTCTGGATGTTTACCCGGGTACAACCCTTCTTACCCGGGTAACTAATTCAACCATTTTTCCAGATTCAAGAACTCTACCCGGGTACACCCCTCTCTACCCGGGTAGATAAAAAATTTCAAAAAATACCAGGGTAGGGAGGGGTGTACCTGGGTAGGCTTCATGGTCAACAGTCAAACAAGAGCAGATTGGTGTTATGTTTTCTGAAGGGGTTAAATTTTCTAATTAATTTCAAATGAAGGTCAAATTGATAATTAATTATTAATTAAAGATTATAAGGGTAAAAAAGCCACGTGCGAATTGATAAAAAGACAGTGCAATCTCTTGAGCTATCCTTCCTTGAATGGCTGCAACAGTGGCAATGTCACTCACTCGGGTTACATTAGATTTTGAAGGATAAAAGTCAGGGAATCGAAGCTTTGACTAAAGCCAGGATATCCCGGAGACATGGAACTACTAAAGGTAATTTCTTTTTTTATTACGAGGAGAGTTATATTTATAAATTTTTTATTTATAAATTTTTACCGTAAAGAATTAAATCAATTCAAAAGCTTAAGCTAGTGCGTGAGGATTTTTTAATAGTTTATACGATTATCTAACACTTACAAAGTATGTAGTGTATACTACTTGAGCATGTACTACTCGTAGTATATATTATAGTTCGTAAAAATTATAAACAAAAAATATGTAAATATAACCTATCCCTTTTATTATTGTTAAAACCTTGAAATTGTGAATTGTGTAACATTTGCATATTTTTGTTATTTGTTTATTTGTTTTTGAAACCAAAAAGTATCAAAATTCCTGAGACTAATTCAGTTTTGGGTTTGAACCTCTCCACTCTCTCAAGTAATTGCGACTCTTAAGAATCAAACACATTATACTTTGGGGCAGATCAAATCCTGGGGTCTAGTTGGAATGTAATTGTCACTAGACCAACAACTATTTTGTTAAGGTTAGAAGATTGAAGCTTGATAGAACAATGAATTAACTTTTTGCAGCCTACTCAACTTCTACTATAGTTACCTACCAACTTTGATTTGTGGGTGTTTGTTAAGCTCTTTTAACTGTGGAAACACATTCTTGGAGGGGAATTAAGAGCTAACTACTACCTTTCAAACTTCAAACACTTGAACCTAATGAGGTTGTTTGTAAAGTAAGTGCATTGTGGTTGTCACGTAGTTTGTGTTGAACTAAGCCTAAAGAGGCTTGAAAGTAAAGAATGAATAAAGCTCAAAGAATATTCTGATTTATTTTGAGAATCTCAGTAGTTTGTTGAGGACAGAATGTAACTATGGTGTTTGGGGATGAACCAGGACAAATTGCATCTCAAGCTATTATTTCTGTTGTTTATTTAAGTTTCTATTTACATTTTGAGGTGCAAATGAAATTTTTCTAAGAATCTTTAAAAAGCTATTTTACGTTTGTGTCTTAGCTCTTTGAAGTTGTATTTTGACTTCAGCAAAATCTCTTTCATCAATTTTTTTTGAAAAACTTGTGAACTTTTATTTTTCATTCTGAGAGAGTTTTTGAAGAACCTTCTTCAAAGTTTTATACATTTTCAACTTTCCGTTACTGACTATGTTAAACAGAGTCATGAGTGAATCTACTCAACTCCTGTTTGAGCTAACTCTAAGCCTACTCAACTCTAAATCTTGAGATTTGATAAAAAGTTGAACTAGGATATTGTTTTTCGAAAAATTCAAGAGATTCATAACACAATTCAATCCCTCTTATTGTGTTTTCGCTAACTTAAAACAAAAAAAAGTGGAATTGTCAAGGTAATAACTACTTGTTTGCTTAAGTTGCTTATTGCTCATGATCATCAAGTTAAAGATAAGAAAGAATAAACAGTAGAGGTAGTAACCATTATTGCTAATATTTTCTTAATTTTGCTCATTCATCTTACTGTGGTATATTTTTACATGTACTCCTGATGCCACAAAATATTTGTTTGTAGCCTGATACAGGTGTAAATATCCCATATGTTTTGAACTGTCTTATCCTCACTCAAAATTTTGTAATTCTTACGTAAATGATGTTTCCAGAGACTTGAGATTTACCATGCCTCAAACAGTGAAACATTTTGATACATTTTCAATTTCCATCCCCACGGCAAGGCTTCGAACAACAATAAGGTTAGTTACTTTGTTACGGGAAGGTCACGGGTTTGTTTATTGGCAATAATCTCTTTGAAAAAACGCAAAGGTAAGACTGTATAATCGGCCCTCACCCCTATTTTTTCAAAGTTGAGGGAGTCTTATATACCGAGATATGCCCAATTTTAATTTCCATATCCTTCACAAACACATTTTAGATTGTGGACTGCATCGCGTGATACGACCACAACATCGCGCTTGTGGTAGCCGGCAGCAGCCACAACCACAACTAAAACACATTGCAAATGCAATTTAAAACCCTGACCTTCAAAGTTCTCCAACCCTTAGAATATCACTCTTAGGCCTAGCCCTCACAACCTTAAGGAGAAAAGTAGATTCTTGTTCATTAAGCAATACATGTTATATTTTTTTTAATATTTTATCAGTTATAATTTATTCCACACAAGATAAGCAATCAGCATGATTCATGTGAACATTTAACATTACACAAAAATTAATGAAGGCTACTAACTTCCAAGTGAGATTATTGCTAATTAGTGTTATAGCCTTCAATATATGTGCTAGTATTCCTTGGCAATCCTTGCCCTTTCAATTATGAAACTTCCTTCCTTGAACTTTTGTCTTGCCTCATAAGCTTGTATATACTTCCAACCTAATTCCTCACCACAGTTGCTGCAAAAGATGCCAGCAACAGTGTACAGCCCAGTTATTAGTTCTCTGTTTTGTTTTGGCCCAGCAATGATGTTCCTTGCATGAGAGAACATAAAGGCTGGCCCAGTTTTTCCCTGAATAGCCAAACAATGGGAATGAGAACCGAGCCTCCCTATAAGAGTCCAGTTGCATATAAAAATGATATATTTAATTCAAGGATGCATATATGAACAGATAGCGAGCTATCTAGAACAAACTATATTATGCATATAATCAACAACCATTTGTTCAAGTGTTAAGAAGTTTGTTCCTTTTAATCAAATATCTTGAGTTCGAACCTGAAAATTTGAGAAAATGGTGTTGGGATTAAGAGAGCCATCCCCTATATAAGTCTAACAATGCTCAAACTGGACTAGTTGGATTTCTGATAAACTAGTTGGGAAACCAAAAGAAAAAATATTATGCATACAAGTACAGTCCACCTCCATATGCATCTATTAGGAGTTGGTTCTGGCCTGTAGGACTTATGTCCAAGATATACTATCTTTGGGTTCTTGCATTTATTTTTGGGAAAAATGCATGTGATTTTAAAGAATGTAAAGTTGTGTCATTTTAAGTGAGAGAAAGAGATAGAATCATGGGAGAGAGAGAGTGGACAAAAAAATAAAAGATGTGGATCTCAGATCTTTGTGAGAATGAAATAACACAAATTATGTCATTTAAAAGGACAAATATTTTTCTCTTTATTTTTATGTGAAAAAGATTCCTATGGATCAAACTGATATAGGTTAGAAATGAAAAAATAAAGAAGAACACCCCTCTCCTTTGGAATAAAAACAAAAGAATAAGAAAAAAGAAATGTTAACTTTTGTTTTCTAGTATTTGAATTTGGTCATTAAGGTCTGCACTTTTCAGTGGTAGGCTTCATTGCACTACTGAAAATAAATCATGCTATAAACTAGAAGTTCAAACAGGAAACAAAACTGAAGAGTTATTTGTTGAATAGTAAAATAAAACTGAGTTACATGAAAAATACCATATAGCTTTTAGAAAGGAGTTCACTGCGCAAAGCAATAGGAGTTTGGCAGTTTTTGCATCTGTATATAGCAGATTGATCACCAAAATTCGCCATTGACACTAAATCAAATCAAATCAAATATTACTGAACTTCAACCAAAGCCAATATGAGTTTTGTTCAACACTAGCTTACATTTCTATGTCCATGTCCATATATCAGAAGATAAAGGAGTTGTGGCTTGTAGTTTGGTCAAAAACGTGTTTGGACAAAATGTGGTTGATACTTTACTTGACAAAGACAATGCTAGGTGCAACGAAAGAGAACGCAAGACTTTATCTACTACAATAGTCAATAGACAATCATCAACCTATGCTATTCAAAAATAAATTACTAAACCCAATCATGGAGGGAGTACTGTACCGTTGGGATCTATAAGCCCACTATGTTCTCTTTGGGATGAATTGTTATATGGATGATACCCTTAGCACAGGTAGAGGAGACCAAGCTAAGAGGTACTGTTCCAAGTATGTATCAAGCAATCAACAATGGAGTTCGGTGTGTGTAATGTGACTCAATATAAATGGGCATAACAATGATACATAAGATCCCTTCATGGTGTGCCTAAAGGGCTCTTTATAGGGGAAGGTGGTGTGTACCTGGTGTGGGTTGGTGAGGAGAGGGTTAACCCTTCTTGAGATTCACTACGGGTGGCAGTGTTGTATGATAGTAGCGCTGCGTCCTCTGCGCCTGGCTGTGTCAGCGTGGGACAAAGGGGCAGTTTCCCTTTGTGGTGACTGTGGCGGTCACCCTTGGGGGTTGGGATCCCAAGACAGGACATTTTGGTGCTTCTCCTAGGGAGAGTCGCTGCGTTGGGGGTTGGGGAGGGATCCTTGATAGCTCTTAGGGCTGACGTGGGCAGTAAGCTGAAGTTGGGCCTGAACCATTGGGCCGCTAATTGTTAGGCCATCCGGAACATGAGCCCCCCAGCTTGGTAGCAAGCGTAGGTTGGTTCCAAGGTAAACGGCTTAGGAGAACTGGACAGTTGGTACAGGCTCGGATAGAGATCTCTTGATGACTTAACGAATATTTGGAGTTTGGCGATGCCTTCTTGGCGACCCGAGCGGTTGGCAAGGGTCATTTTTGGGAAAGGCTGCCATTCTGACAGGCAAGGTGTCTTTTCGGTTTTTGAGGAGCAGTAATGATGGGTAAGGGTTTAGGCGTCACATGAGTGGCTGGCGCCTAGGTAAAGTGTTTGGGCGTCACCTGAGTGGTGTAGGAGTAACGCCCGATATCTTAGTGACTTGGTGTTTGGGGCTTCCCACCCCTTTGAGGCGGGGTTCCGTCCTATTTGTGTCTTTGGCGGGCCGCGTAGTCCTGTAGGGGGTATTTTGGGTACTTCATCCTTCTGACACGCAAAGTGCCTTTTCAGTTTTCGAGGGGTAGTAATGATGGTTTATTCCATCATTGCAGATAACTGCAGAACTCAATCGTCACGAGGCACGGTGCATTAATGCAACGTGAAGGGTGTCTTGTCCCCCCGTAATTACCATTAAGCCCCTCATCACAGCCGCCTATTGTCTGACGGTTATGCCATCCTACGGTCGAAATGGTGAGGTCCTACACGTGTACGCTACCTTGATCTCCTTGATCCTTTTTAAAGGAGGCTCGTACCTTTCTGAGGATCCTCTTCTCATTACCTCAAGCTCTTCGTGTTTCAGCATTCTTCATTTGCGTTTTTCCTTCTTTGCAATAGTGCCCGTGTTGTTCCTCATTTCTTCACTGTCTGCATTATCTCATGTACAATTATAGTTTTGATATTCCTTTGTACTTCTTTTAGCTTGCTTCTCTTCTCCTTTTTCTAATGATGGTTAAGATAACGGATGTGTCTGGGTTGTTCTTGCCGGAGATGGAGGTTGAAGTTAAGGAGGAGGAATTTGATGAAGCCTTCGACACGCTCGAAGGCTGTACAGTAGGGCCTGCTATGCAGGAATATCTTGCTAAGCATGGTAGGGAAGGTAGTAGCTTTCCCTCATATCGTTCTTTAGTTCCTGGGGTTGAGTTGTTGCCCCATGGTAGGATTCCCGAGCTTCTTGGTTTTACTGAAGAGGAGATTCAAAATCTCCTGCCGGAAAGGGCTTTAGGACCTGTGCTTCCATATTTGGGTGAGGCGTCTGGCTCTCGTATTCATAATGAGCGCCAGGTGTCGTGTGGTGGGACCGCTTCTGGATCTGGTAGGCGTCAATCTGCTAGTTCCGGAAAGCGATGGTCAGGTGGTTCTAGTGAAGGGGTTAGGTCTCGCCCTTCACGAAGTAGTCATTTAAGGTCTTCTAATCGTTCCTGCGATCAGAGGAGAGGTTCGTGTTGCCATGTTTCGCGGCGCTCTGCTCTTGGAGTAGGGTGACTTGTTCGACCTTTGTCTTCTATTAACCAACTTCAGCAAAATCGTCCCTTAGAGTTTTACTATAAGCCTCGCTCTTTAGGGAAAACACATCCGACTGTTGACTCTTCCGTCGCCTTGAGTACATCGCGTGGTCATATTCCCAACATTTCTCAGTCCTTCCATCGCCGTAAATATGACGAATCTACAGAAAACCGACTAGGTAGATACCACCCAGAGGATGGACAACTTGTGAAGTATGGCGTGTGGGACGCCATATATGAAGACCTGGGGCTTTATAAGATACCGCATGCGTGGTGGACTTCTTCTCTGAGCTATTCAGATTTTTATTCTTCGAGCTCTTCCGAAACCTCTGATTCTTATGGTAAGTTGTTTGTGCTTGAGCTATTTTGATTTAGTTGTCGGTAAGGGGTGGTTTTGGTGGTCACAGGAGTGGGAGTTGAGTGTTATGGAGGTTTGAAGTTGTCTCCCATTGTAGATCTTCTTGGCGTCGGTTGAAGTGTTTGGCGATTGATTGTGTGTTTGTCGCTCCCAGGTAGGATTTGAAGATACTATCTTGACTTATGGCGGCTGCTCAGGAAGATGATTGCTTCTTGGCGAGGAGTTGGGTAGATCCGATGGTGGCTTCCTCGTCATCGAGTTATGTTAATGGGGACATCTTGAACCGCGATTACCAAACGGAAGCTAGTTTTGATATTACTGAGAATGGTGAACACGAGGCGATGTGGCAGACCATCGCGGTCGTGAGTGATGACCGTGTTTGTGACACTCCTCATAGTGTGGCGAGATCTCGATGGCGGTTCGTGGTGTATAAGACTCACTTCACGGATCAAAAAGTGAGGTTCCCCTTATCTGAGTTCGAGATGGGGGTGTTAGCCCACCTGCGGATCGCACCTTCTCAATTTCACCCAAATGCTTGGGCGTTTGTTCGGGTTTTTGAGAAGATATGTCGATATTTTGGATGGGTTTACTCTGTGCGGTTGTTCTTTTACTGCTTCCAAGTGTCGTCTTCCCTGAAGAAGCTTGGTTGGGTTTCGTTAAAGGCGGGCAACAGATTGGGATCGATATTTGACCAGTACGCCAATTCGTATAAGAACTGGAGGCATACTTTTTTCTGGATTGAACCAGTGCTTGGCGAGGGGGAATTACCTTTTTTTCTTGACCGGGCGAGTGGGGAGAGTCGGTTCCCGCTATACTGGACCAAAACCCATTATGAGACGCCCGCCAGTCAGTATTCGTTTGGGTGGGGAGCCTTGTGTCCTGAAGAGGCATTGGTAGTGGATTGGTTTGTGGAGGTAAATGGGGGCCTTGGCCGGTGGCCTTCGAAGAGAGTGTTGTGTCACGGAGGTGTGGTGATGTTTTGTACTATTTGCGACTGTGGTGAGTATTAACTGTCTTTACTGATACTTGTTTTTCCTGTCTTGCAGTTGAAAGCTTGCCGATGGAGACGCTGAGACTTGCACGTGCGGCGGCTGCCAAGCTCAAAGGTGTGGTTCCTCAGGTTAACCCAAACCCCACCTCAAAGGGGAAAGATAAAGGTAAGAAAAAAGAAGTCCACGAGAAAAAGAAGAAAATCCGGTCAGCTGCAGATATTCCCGCTGGTGAGTTGGAGAAGAGGGCGACTGACCCTATAATTAAAGAGGCCACGAATGTGGTGGGGGGTTCATCGGCGAGTGAATCAACTCTCGGATCGCCTACTCGTGGGGGGTCAAGTCTGAAACGGGGGGGGAGAAGAAAGCTTGATTCCGCCGAGGGGCTCCAAGATGTCGTGCCTCGATCAGCCAGAGTGTAGGCAGTTTGTTGACAGCGACTGTCACGTCTCAGGTGGAATTCCTGAGGACTCTGGCGATGGTGGGATGAAGGAAACCAGCACTTTTGATTTAGAGGAGCCTCGTGTAACAGTTGGCGCGCAGGATCTTCCTCCTCGTCTTGCTGAGATCCCAGTTGGCAGGGCCCTCAAATTATCAGAGAGGGACCTTAACTCTGTTTTTCCTAACATTGGGCGTCCTAGGATGGTGGTGCCAGAGCAAATCGATCGCCAGGCATTCCTTGACTGCACGCAAGTGGACATTGGCCGTATCTTGGGAATGCAAGAGGCCGCCCTTGCTGTTGACAGTCGTTGCTCCTACCAGGATGATCGCCTTGATGAGATAGGGCGTAAGGTAGATGATCTTACTGCTGAGGTTAGGCGTCTTGGTAAGGAGGTTGCTGACAAAAAGGCTGCGAACAAGTCTCTTTTCGCACAACTGAAGAAGGCGGAAAGAGAGGTTAAACGCCTAACCTATGAGAAGGATGACATATCTAAGTCTCTGGAAGAGTCCAGGAAAGAGAAAGTGGGTCTCCAATCTGAAAAAGCCCAATTGTTTACTGATTTATTTTATGCGCATGGGAGCCTCCACGCCACACAAGAGGACTTCAAAAAGGCAACTGGGCAGGTGGCAAAATTGGAGGAGGCCTTAGCAAGCCTCTTGTATGATTCTTTTAACAACGCCCTCCAGCAAGTTTCGGTTCGGGATCCTGAGCTTGACCTGACTGGTTTCAGCCCAGAGTATGAGGTGGAGGACAACAAGATAGTTGAGCACCTAGCAGGTAGCGGGGTGAAGGTAATTGAGGAGGGTCCTGATAGTGACGAAGACGAAGGTTCGCCGGAAGCCCGTCCAACCAGCATCGCCACCGGTGATAATAATCCGGAAGAGAATGAGGCTGGGCGTGACTTGTCAACTCGGACTGCTTGCGTGAACTTATCTGGCCCAGAGGCGGGGGGTGGTGGTGATGCTGTCGCTGCTGGCATGGCGAAAAAGACTCTGGAAACTGCCGAGGAGGCG